ATGACATCATGCACTTGTGAAAACCCATAGAACTTCATAGCACCAAAAGGAAACCTTAAAATATGTACATTTTTAAAAATTCAACTTGGAGATCAAGGGATCTTAGAATGGAATGCACAATGTAACAAAAGAATCTAACCATTATAAATGCATGAAACAACCTCACTGAGGAGGATGAGGGAAAAAGTTGCTGACCTAAGTAAATTTGGAATAAAGTAGAGCCTGTAAGACTAAAGACAGAGGGACGGTATATAAGCACTGTACTCTGTTTGATAAAATTGTTTCCCAAGGGGGAATGGATAACAATTCTGAAACTACTGTGTGTATTCTGCAGTCGAACAATTAAGAAAATGGATGGCAGATGGTGGAAGCCAAGTTTCTCACTGTTGGTGTGGGAGATTACAGACAAGCAAGGGGAAAAGGATAGGGTGGTCCATATGGTAATGGATCAGAGTTGGAGATGAGTGTGAGCTCATGTTTAGCTTAATATAGATATAGATAGTTACGTGTAGAAACATTTATAGATATGTGTATATACGTGTGTTAATCTACACTACACACTTCCTTGCTCTGCTAGTTGAGAGGACCTACAAACAGTGATATCCCAGGAGCAGCAAGCACACCTACCACCCGTTTGGTGCTAATCTTGGTTTCTAATACTATTATCTAATAAAAGAAACTATCTAATAAAAGGTTCTTTGGAAAAATGACTGACTTTAGGACCGGGACAAGAAATGTACAAGATGAGCCTGTGGTGCCAGAAAGTAAGTGTGTGCTCAAACGAACAAGCCAGAATAACGTGGGGAGTGTGTCAAAGGACGCAGGAGCCAACAAAGAGAGCACTCAGCATTGGATTATAACCCAAAGTATAAAATAAGTATCCAGGAGTCCATGCTGATATAAATGAGTGAATACATAAATGGGGGAGAATAGAAAATCTCCCATGCAGAGGAATTCCAAATAATTTATGTAGATATACCTCAAAAAGGTAGAACATAACTCCTCACTTTTTAAATGTGGGCTGAGTATAGTGAATGACTTTCTTCCAAATTTGAGGTGGTATTATAATTTGT